TTCATTCTGAACATTTTTACTGTTAGAGGATTTCTGCCTGATTTTTCCACCCTCATACACAGATGGTTGTAGAATAATAGGCACTACATTATCAATAATGGGTATGCCTGGGGCTCTTTTTCTGCTTCCAGGGCGCTGAAACAAGTTGACCTTCCCCCATAATTTTTGTCCTTGCAATGGACTACCTGTCCATAATGCTTGATAAGTCACTGCTCTCTTAGGGGTACTCTAGATATCGGCCTTTCAACTTTAACATTTCAAATTCTCTCATAATTAGGTCAACTTTAGGAATGTCATAAGTAAATTTACCAACTAGTGCCAAACGACATGATGAGGTCAGAATAGAAGTTTCACCCTCAGAGACAAATAGCATAAGTTTACCATTTTTTCCCAAATTCTTAAAGAAAGTGTAACCCCCTCTAACATTGTAAGTGTCGCGAAAACCTAGCAGAAACAACTCTGTGGAAGGAGTGACCAAAACACCCCCCCATCCAATACAACATCAACAAACGAACAAAGAATTGGAGGCATAGCGAAAAGCAAGTAGTGAAGCAAAGATGTGTGAAGGAAAGATTTCACCAGCAAAGGAGGTAGTCGAAATTGCCATGGATCTCAGAGCAAAACCTAGCCGCCACCAACATCTTCGCTATATCTATATCTAATATATATATATATATATATATATATATATGTGTGTGTGTGTGTGTGTGTGTGTGTGTGAAGAAAGAGCTACTTATGGCTCCCTACATGTTGATGATATGAAAAGTTACAAGATGAGACAAAGTAAGTAAAGGGTCCCTCTAAAAAAACACAAAAAAAACAAAAAAAAAAACCTAGGGGATCCTAAAAAAAGGATAAAAGTCAGTTTACAATTCTAAAATGAGGGACATTGATAAGGTCCCTAGCATGCAAAAAACTAAGAGGGGGGGGGGGGGGGGGGGGGGGGGGGTTGGGTGGAGAAGATAGAAATGAAGTTGAAGTTAAGCCCATGTCTAGCAATCCAATTTGCAGGTTTGTTCCCTTCTCTTTAATTGATGGAGAATTGTGTGGTTGTATGAGATGTAATATATTTGATTTTTTGTATCCAATAAGAATGTTGCCAGGATGATAGTTCCTCTTGCTCAAACAGATTAATTAGGATAGTGGAATCCACCTCATTCCACAGATGGGTCCAATTGGTTTTTACTGCAATCATTAGGGTGCAATACAATAAGTTCAATTTCTAGTACATCAACAGCAATAACAGGTGCATGGAAGAAAAGAAGACTCGAAAGTGGTTAATGAAGATCCTCCCCCACCCCAACACCATGATCAGAAAAACTCCCATCTGTATTAATTTGGATAATAGAGTGACTAGGGGGTCTCCAAAACACTTTATTGATAAGGGGATGAGATGAAATCTCAGTAGGAGAGGAGCAAATGTTAGGGAAATGCTTCTATTGTATCAACTTTTGGATAAATGACATGCAATTTCTCATAACCCCAACAGCAGAAGTAAAGTTGCCCGCATGTTTAGCTAGGTTTTTAGCCATACAAATGAATGAAGCAACTAATAAAGGAATGAAAGCAACATTTTAAGTGTTCCAGCTATGCCAAATTCCTTTTAGGTGATCTCACTCAAAGGCAGATTTCCTCAAAGTTAGATGTGTAAATAGTGTTGTCAAAACATCCTGAGAGAAACTGCATTCAAAAAAGAGATGAGAAATGGATTCCTCTTTGTCCAAGCACAAATGGCATATAGAAGGGTCCCTCAGGCCTAGAAAGCCAATTTGCAGGTTTGTTCCCTTCTCCTTAATTGAAGGAGAATTGTGTGGTGGTATGGGATTTAATCAATTTGATATTTTGTATACTATAAGAATGTTACGAGGATGATATTTCCTCTTGCTCAAACGGATTAATTAGAATAGTGGAATCCACCTCAATCCACAAATGGGTTTAATTGGTCTTTACTACAATCATTAGGGCACCATACACAACTAGAAGTTCAATTTCCAGTACGTCAACAACAATAATAGGAGCATGGAAGAAAAGAAGACTCCAAAGTGGTTTATGAAGATTCCCCCCACCCCAACACCATGATAAGAAAAACTCCCATCTGTATTAATTTGGATAAAAGAGTGACTAGGGGGTCTCCAAAAGACTTTATAGTTAAGAGGATGAAATGAAATCTCAGTATGATAGGAGGAAATGTTACGGAAATGCTTGTATCGTATCAACTTTTGGATAAAGGACATGCAATTTCTCATAACCCCAACAACAAAAGTAAACTTGCCCTCATGTTTAGCTAGGTTTCTAGCCATACAAATGAAGCCATACAAATGAATGAAGAAAGCCATACAAATGAATGAAGAAACTAAAAAAGGAATGAAAGCAAATTTTTAAGTGTTCCATCTATGCCAACTTCCTTTTAGCTGGTCCCACTTAAAGGCAAATTTTCTCAAAGTTAGATGTGTAAATAGTGTAGTCCAAACATCCTGAGAGAAACTACATTCAAAAAAGAGATGAGAAATGGATTCCTCTTTGTTCAAGCACAAATGGCCTCTAGAAGGGCCCCTCAGGCCTAGCAAGCCAATTTGCAAGTTTGTTCCCTTCTCCTTAATTGAAGGAGAATTGTGTGGTGGTATGGGATCTAATCAATTTGATTTTTTGTATCCAATAAGAATGTTGTCAGGATGATAGTTCCTCTTGCTCAAACAGATTAATTAGAATAGTGGAATCCACCTCAATCCATAGATGGGTCGAGTTGGTCTTTACTTCAATCATTAGGGCGCAATACATAACTATAAGTTCATATTCCAGTACATCAACAACAATAACAGGTGCATGGAAGGAAAGAAGACTCGAAAGTTGTTTATGAAGATCCTCCCCCACCACAACACCATGATCAAGAAAACCCCCATCTGTATTAATTTTGATAATAGAGTGATTAGGGGGTCCCCAAAACACTTTATAGATAAGAGGATGAAATGAAATCTCTGTAGGAGAGGAGCAAATGTTAGGGAAATGCTTGTATCGTATCAATTTTTGGATAAAGGACATACAATTTCTCATAACCCCAACCACAGAAGTAAACTTGCCCTCATGTTTAGCTAGGTTTCTAGCCATACAAATGAATGAAGAAATTGAAAAAGGAATGAAGCAACCTTTTAAGTGTTCCAGCTATGCCAGCTTCCTTTTAGGCTATCCCGCTCAAAGGCAGATTTCCTCAGATTTAGATGTGTGATTAATGTTGTCCAAACATCTTGAGAGAAGCTACATTCAAAAAAGAGATGAGAAATGGATTCCTTTTTTTCAAAGAACAAATGGCATCTAGAAGGGCCCCTCAGGACTTTCATTTTAAGTACGTCATTAGTAGGTAATAAATTTTGCAGGGTTCTCCAATTGAAAAAAGACATAGAGGGAGACAGGTATTTATTCTAGATAACATTCCCTCATGGGACCTCATCCCAACAGAAGTGTTTAAAATAGATGGCTTTAGTGAGGCTTTGATTAGCATGAACTTACCATATTATTCTATCAGGTATGCCACTATCAAAAGGTAGTTTAGAGATGTGAGTGATGGATGGTTCTTGCAAAAGTAAGCTTAATTTAGTGAGAGACCAATGATCATCCTCCCAGCAATCAGCAACTTGAATATTTGTGTTAAGGGGGTTTGTAATAGGAGTAAGCCAATCCTCTGGACACCAATGCTCCAACCAAAAATTAACATCCCCTTTGCCCAAATCCTAGAGGAAAAATTTTTCAGCTTGATCTTTATGCTTGAGCATGCTGACCGACAGTTTAGAATCTCCTGATTTTCTGATAGTGAGTGAGGGATGCTGATCTTTACAATACTTAGCCAACATAAAATTTTCCAACAAAGAGGATTGAGCTCTAAACTTATTCCATATTTTGTATAAATTAACATGAAAGAGTTGTTGAAGTCCCTTAAATCCAATGCCACTAGCCAAGATAGTTTAGCTGTCTTCTACCAAGAGGCTCAATGTAGCTGCTATCTTTGTCCAGACCAAACGAATCTATTGAATGCCCTCTCGAATTGCAATTTAGTACTTTTCTTAAGATTGGTCATTTGGAGGATGTAGTAAGGAAAAGTGGTAAAGATTCTCTTAAGTAAAGTCAATCTACCCCCATTAGATAAGAAGGAATTAGTCCAACATGAGAGATAGGAGATAATTTTATTTTGGACCTCATCAAATTGAACATACTTAGTTCTACCCATAATAAAAAGGCCCCAAAGATATTTGAGAGGTATATGAGTGCAAGAAAAATTTGTATATTCATTTGTTCACTGCCTGCAGTTGGGAGAAGCCTTTTTGTGAAAGATCAATTGGCATTGATCAGGATTTTAGCACATACCTGAGTTTTCCTAGAAAGTATTGAGACATTTGATAACCTTTTTAACAGTAGCCTTATGAGAGCTTGAGAAAATCATGATATCATCATTATATATTAGGTGGGAGTTAGCCAATTTTGACGTAATGTGATATCTAGAATATTTATCTGTGAGAATGCTTTGATTGAGGAGTCTGGCCAGGTAATCAATGACCAATATAAAAATAGTAGCCGAGAGTGGGTCCCCTTGTTTTAGCCCTCTAGTTGCAGTAAAAGACCTAACCTGCCCATTTATAAAAATGGAGTGATAATTATTAGCAAGTCACCTATGTATAAGACAGCAAAAATCAGCAGAAAAAAGCCCTACCAGACAAGATCTCCATAACAAAGGACCAACTGATAGAATCATAAGCCTTTTTGATATCATGTTTGAAAATCAGATTACCCTCTGCAAGGATATACAAATCCAGAACTAGTTGCTGAGCAAGAAGGACATTATCAATTATAGATCTCCCTTTGACAAAGCCAGACTCATTGGAGCAAATGAGTCTGTCTAGATGTGGCTGTAGCCTTTTAGCAATGATTTTGCTAATTACTTTGTTGACTATAATGGTGAGGTAAATAAGTCTGAAGTGATCCCATTTATTCTAAACAATAGATTTGGAGATCTAAATAAAATTGAATTCACTGATGTACTGTGGAAGGTTATTGCACTGGAAGAAGCCTTTAATACCATCAGTAACATCCTTCTTGATAAAGTCCCAAGATTTCTTATAAAAATCTACAGTGAACCCATCAAGGCCAGCAGATTTGGAGCTATCTATAGAATTAATATCCAGCCAAATCTCTTGCTCAGTAGGAGGATCAGTGAGTTTAAGAGCCATAGTGTATGATCTTTCAGCATTGAAGTAAGTCCTATCAATTGGTGTCTTGTAATCTTCAGTATGCTTTAAAAGTTGTTGATAATAACAAAAAACATCTCTAGCTATGGATTCATTATCTTTAAGCCAAATTCCCTTAGTGGACTGTATGGAATGAATAGTGTTACATTTCCTTTTATTTTTGATATAAGCACGACAAAATTTTGTATTCCTGTCACCATCAGTGAAGATATTGAGAGAGGCCTTCTGCATAAGGAAAATTTCTTGATATTCAATTACAGTAAGCAGCTTATTTTGAGCAGTAAGTAAATCCTTTTCCTCAGCAAGCCCATTTTGGACTTGCATCTCTAAATACTCCACCTCAATTTGTGTTTTCTGCAGTGAAAACATTGTCAAAAGCTTCCCAATTCCACCTCTTAAGGGCTTTACCAATACTTTTTGAAGGATACAAAGTTTAATTACACCAATTAGTAGTAACAATATGATTGAAATCTTGATTGGTAGACCATATATTGATGTATCTGAAAGGTGAAGGCTACCCACTATTACATTGAAAAGTAATAGAGACCAATAGAGGTCTATGGTCAGACCTAGCTGGAATTAGGTGAGTAACATAAGTCATCAAAAACTGTGAGTACCAGAAATCATTAACCAAAACTCTATCTAATCTTTACCATATGTTGTCCCTCTTCTAGTTGAATGGAGGTCCTTTAAATCCTAGATCAAACAGACCTGCATTTATAATATTATCAGAGAAAATAGTCATCTTTGAGAGATTTGAGAATCTGCCCCTAGATATCTCAGCAGAAGATGAAATACAACTAAAGTCTCCTCCCACTAGCCAAGGAGAATTAAGCTATGTACAGATACTATGAATGCCCTCCCAGAGTTCTTCTCTATCCTCCTTCTTGCACCATGCATAGATGAAAGAAGCCTGCCCCATATGGCCTTTGATCAAAAAAGAAATGTGCACAAACTGGTAATGGTCCACCAAAACTTGTCAAGGGATTTCTTTTCTATAGAAAATCTAAATCTTATTATTTTTGTTAGCATAATGTGTAAAACCAATAAACTTATTAATAATTCTTTGAGAATACTTATGAACCATAGGTTCAAAGATAATAAAGCACCAAAGCTGAAATTTTTTATTCAAATGTAAGTCTCTTTTAAGAGATAGGGAGTGAGCAATACCCCTTATATTCTAGCATAGAAAGTTAATCATCTTTAGGGGAGGGGTGAAGTGAGGGTTGTGATCTAGATTTGGCTCTACCTCTAGAAGTCTTAGGGGAAATTCTTGTTATCCCTATTGAGCCACTTCAATATGTCACTATAGGTATCCCTTTGTGGTGTTTTTGATGTTCAGTAGCTATTTTTTTCTTCTTTTTAGCAGTGAGGATGTGTTAGTCCTCCTCCAAAGTATTCTTAAATTGTATTAGTGTTTTATTTTCAGGGACTGTTGGTATGGGGCAGCCCTCAGTCATAATCCCTCTAGGGGGAACAAGATCCGTAGAAGGTGAGGAAACATCTCCACTTCAACAACTTCTTTTCTCATAGGGAGTAAGTGTTCTGAATCTGGGGTATTAGATGGAGTAGAAATAGAACCAAGAGGATCTCTAAATGAACTCTGTGGCCTAGTGTTTTCATCAACACTGGGCATGACCATCTTCACAGCTTGGGGAACATCCTGCTTGCTGAATACTATTCGAATTCCTTTTAGGTGGGGGATGGAGCGTATAACACTTTTCCAAGGTTTGTCCAAACATTTTGCAATGCTGATAGAAGTAAGGCCTTTGCGCTAAAACCACATCCTTCCAAAACCCAGTTTCTTCAGTTCGAATCTAAACCCTTTTCAATTTTGGGAGGGTGATATCCCTCTCAATCCGTATTCTAGCACTGGCTGGTCTGGCCTTGTTATAGGTAGGTGTTTCCACCTTAAGTGGAGTGCACAAAGCTCTGCCAATGTTAAACAAGGCATTAAGACTGAATAATTGAAGAGGGAGCCCAAGAAATTTAAACCAAAGAGGAACCACAGGAGGATCCTTGATGAGGTCAAATCCTGGGTCCATTTCAAAACTTTCATTGAAGTTTCAGCTATCATAATAGACTATTTAGAACTTAATCTAGCATATTCTTATTCCACAGATAGTTGTGTAAGCAGATGCCTCCCATCTTACAATCCCACCTTCCATTCCATAAGAAGGTTGAGTGATTCAAATTAGTTTCCTACTAATTCCATTTTGGGATGGCCCAACATGAACTTTTCCACTAGAGTGAACTGCACCTCCTCATTTAGTTTTTCATATATATAGACTTTTTAAAATATAAGCACACATATACATCATATATATATATATATATATATATATTTATTTATTTATTTATTTATTTATATTATCTAATGATGATGGTGTCAGCTGGAGAAGGAGATCTGCTAGGGTTTCTGGTGGGATGAAGATTTACTGGAGCTGGCTGGAGGTTGGAGCTATAGAAGTGGTCTATTGGGTCCTCTCCTCAACTTGGTCACCTCTTTGGTGGCTTTTCTCTTTGTTTGAGCTTTTCTGGGCTTGAAGTTTTGAAGGGGTTACTGTTCCATTGATACTAGAGTTTCTCTGTCGTTTCCTGGTTTTAAGTGGTGTTCTTACCCACCTCTCTAGCAGGTAGTTTTTTTCAAACCTATTATTTGTTTGGGTTAGGCATTGTTGCCTTGCTGCTTTCCTTGGCTTGGTTTTCTTTCAGATGTTACTATTTAATTGCTTAGTTATTTCCTGGTTACGAAGAGGTGTACTTTTCCTGGTGACTGTCCCTTTTCACTTTCTATTATTATTTATCTGTTGAGCTTTTGTTATTGAAGTGGGGATTCTGAACACCCCCTTGGTGGCTTCTTTTGTGGTTGCTAGGGCAGGCTTCTCTTTTATTATGGCCACACCCATAGATGTTCACAATGAAGCTCAGTGGATTAAAGCCACATATGCAGGTGTAGTTGGAAAAGTCACTAACACTTTACAAGATCCTGATATACGTGTGTTTTTCCAGGCATTTCGTGATACAGCAGCTGACAAAGGATCTTGCCATTTATTCATCCACTTGGATCAAAAGATGGTGAAACTGTAATCTTTTTTTCTACCCTGGATATTGACTCACTCCAAGAAGAAGTTAAATTAACATTAGTAGGAAAAATCCAATTGGGAAACCCCAAAACGGAACTTGTTAGAAGCTTTTTTTATTCCCTAAAGTTTATTAGGGCTTGAAAAATTATGATACTTAATGGAAGACATCTCGTAGTCTAACTCTCTGTGGAAGAAGATTATGCCAGGCTCTTTGCTAAGAAATCCATAGTGATTGTAGGGACCACAATGAAAATTTAAAGTGGACCTCAGACTTTGATCCAAGCAAGAAACCTCCCATGGTACCTTTAGGTGGATACCTAAAGGTACCAGGACTTCCCCTCCCCTTTTTCAAAATTAATGCTCTGTTTAACATTGGTAAGGCATTAGGTATAGCTCTTAAGGTGGATACCCCCACTTATAACAAAGCAAGACCTACACTTGCTAGAATTCAAGTTGAAAGAGACATCACCCTCCAAGAGCTGAAGAGAATATGGATAGGATCTGATACTAATGGCTTCTGGCAGGAAATTGTTGCTGAGAAAAACCCTTACTATTGCCAACATTGTAAAATGTTTGGCCACACTGTAGAAAGATGCTACAAGCTCCATCCCCCCAAAAAGGAATTCTAATAATAGTTCTAAGGATTCTGGACATGTAACTGAAGAGATATCAAGAATTACCGCTAAAGGAACCCCCCCAATGAATGGTACTAACACTGATAAACAAAAGCCTCATCTTATTACTACAAGTACCCCTCACTATATATTGTTACTACTCCCCCTAGGGACCCATTAGGAGAGTTGTCTGACTCCCCTTCCAATAGTCCTATAGATGTATCTTCGACAAGGTTTGTCAAAAAAGAAGCCAATGAAGTGATTATTGTTACTCCTACATCTCCCAACCTTGATGGTGAGGTTGAGGGTGTGGGATTTTCCACTCACATAATTGTTCCTGAAAAAGCAATTGAAGAGAACAATATTATTGCTATGAAACAAACACTAGAAGAGGAAAGGAAAATTCAAATAGCAAGGAAAAAGAAAAAACAGGTGACAGAAGTGCAGAATCTCCAACAAGGGTCAGCCTTAATGAAGATAGAAGGCAATGTAAGGGCAAAGAATGGTTCCCCCTCTAAAACCTCTAGAGGGAGAACTAGGTCAAGGTCCTAGCCATCTCTCCACCTCCCCTCAATTAATGATTAACCTCCTATGTTGGAACATTAGGGGTGTGGCTCACCCCCTCTCTCTCAAAAGAGTCTTACATCTCAACTTTAAATACAACTTTGGTGTATTACCATCTTTGAACCTATGGTTCATAACTCACAAACACTCCCAAAAACATATCAAGAAGTTCTCTGGATTCTCTCATTTTGCTAATACCAACATCAAAATTTGGATCTTTTGTAGAAAAGAAATCAGTTGGCATATCCTAGTGAATCAGCAAAATTTTTTTCATTTCTCTATCCTAATCAATGGTCATTTAGGCTTTGCCTCTTTCATCTATGCAGGTTGTGCTAAGGAAGACAAAAAAGAGTTGTGGACCTGCTAACACTGCCGTTTGTACAGATGCTAATAACTATTATAACAATCTTCTGAACCAAGTCCACTCGTTCAGACCTCCAATTGACAAGCACTACTTCTCTGAAGAGTTGAGTTACACCACAAACCTTAGAATTAGTGATCCCCGCAATGAAAAAAAAATCAGTGAGTCCTTAAATTCCATTCATAGTTCTAAGAATGCTGGGCCTGTGGAATTCAAAACAAAATTCTACAAAAAATCTTGGGATATAATTAAAACTGATGTTATTGCTGTTGTTGTCAGTTTGTTTCAAGGACATAACCTCCCTCATTATTTTTGTGCTTCCAATTATGTCCTAGTCCCTAAATTTGAAATTCAAAAAACATGGGAGTCGTACCACAGTTCTCAACAAATTCATCTACAAAATTATTGTTAATACAGTCCAACCCCATCTTGATAATCTTATCAAACCAAATCAGACTACTTTTGTCAAGTGGAGGTCTATTATTGACAACACCTTACTGGCTCAAGAACTGCTCCTAGACTTGAACAAGCCTTGTAGAGAAGGAAACCTTATTTACAAGATAGATATCAAAAAGGCCTATGACACCATCAATTGGGAATTTATACTGGATATCGCCTCAACTAGAGGATTTCAACCTAATTCTGCAACCTTATGCATAGATGGTTACTCAACAATGTACACTCCATCCTTATCAATGGGCAAGGTTGGGGGTCATTTACTGCTAATAGAGGTTTGAAGCAAGG